GAGGAAGATTAGCCCTGAGCTAACGTCTGTTGCCAGTCCTCCTCTTTTTGCTGAGGAAGATGGGCCGTGGGCTAACATCCTTGCCCATCTTCCTCTGCTTTATATGGGACGCAGCCACAGCATGGCTTGACAAGTGGTGCATCGATGTGTGCCCGGGATCCTAACTTGTGAACCCTGGGCTGCCACAGCTGAGCGCATGCACTTAACCACTGTGCCACCAGGCTGGCCCCTTAAAAAAACCTTTTAATGATTACTCTAAAAGTTGCCACATAAATCTTTCAGTTTTCAAAATCTTAGATTAATTGGTAATTTTATCTTGTTTCTAAACAATGCAAGAACTTTAGAATTCTTTGACTTTATTTTCACTTTCCCAATCTATTTGCAATTGTTTTGTATTTTAATTTTGTGTGTATTTATTTAAAACCTCACAAAGTATTATTATTTTTTATGCAATCAATATTCATTTAGTTTTACCTACATACTTATCGTTTTTGTTGCTCTACATTCTTTCCTACATCTACCACCTTCCATCAGACATTATTCCTTATGCATGGAGAATACTTTTTCAGATTTTCTTTAATGAATGTCTACTGTTGACAAATTCTGTTTCTGTTGGCCTGAAGATGACTTTATTTCATCTTAATTCCTGAAGGATATTTTTCACTGAATTCTAGATTTCAAGTTATTTTCTTTCAGCCATTAGATATAGTACTCTCTTGGTTTGGTTCCCACTATTTCTTTTGAGACCTTAGCTCAATTTAATTGTTGCTTCTTTGAAAATAATCTATCCACCCCCACCTCCCCCACCAGCTGTTTTAAAGATATTTCCTGTATCTTTGGTTTGCAGTAATTTTTTCTGGGATGTGCCTAGCTGTGTATTTCTTTGTTTTATCCTGCTTGGAATTCTTAGGGCTTCTGAAATCTGTAGCTTAATGTCTTTCATCTGTTTTGAAAAATTCTCAGCCAGATAGTGGTTCTATTCTATTCTCTCTTTTGTCTCCTTCTGATATTCCAATCACATGCATGTTATACCCTCTCGCTCTCTATGTTGCTTACCCTTTCTTCTATATTTTCTATCCCTTTGACTCATTGTCTTTTGTTTTGGTCAGTTTCTTCTGATCTTTCTTGAGTCCTCTAATTGTCTCTTTAGTTGATTTAATCTGCTCTTAAACTCATCCATGAAGTTCTTAATTTTGCTTGTTATGTTTTTCAGTTTTAGAATTTATATTCAATTATTTAAAAAATCTGTATCATTTATAAAATGGTTTCTAAGTCTCTGTCAAAGTTTTCAGTCTTTTATTGAATGTGTTAAGCATAGTTTTAAAGTGTGGGACTGTTTGTTCAAATATCTGGAGCTCCTGTTGATCTGTTTCTATTGTCTTTTGATTCTCATTTATATGTAATTTTATCTCCTTGTATTCTTGGTTATCTTTTCTTATGTGCTAGACATTGTATTTGAAAATTGTTTTTATTTTTTATTTTATTTATTTTTTTTGAGGAAGATCAGCCCTGAGCTAACATCCATGCTAATCCTCCTCTTTTTGCTGAGGTAGACCGGCCCTGAGCTAACATCTATTGCCAATCCTCCTCATTTTTTTTCCCTTTTTCTCCCCAAAGCCCCAGTAGATAAATGTATGTCATAGTTGTACATCCTGCTAGTTGCTGTATGTGGGACGCCGCCTCAGCATGGCTGGACAAGCAGTGTGTTGGTACGTGCCCAGGATCCGAACCCAGGCTGCCAATAGCGGAGCGTGCGCACTTAACTGCTAAGCCACGCGGCTGGCCCCTGAAAAATGTTTTTAGAAATCATTCAGCAGCTAAGATAATATCTTCCTACAGAAAAGATTTTCATTTGCTTTTGCTAGCTAGGTGCCTAGAGTTGCTAACAACCTGGGGTTGTTTTAATCCGTTTCAGCATCAAGGTTTTTCTGGGCCACTTAGATGACTGAGCGATTGTTTTATTCTTAATCCCAAGGTGCAGCCCTTTGAGGTCCCAATCAAAACATGACCTATTTAGCAGAGCCCTCACTCTTGGTGGCCCCTAGTCTCGGACTTTTGGCCTGATAAGCCTTTTTTTTTTTTTTATAGAGTTTATTTTTTAGAACAGTTTTAGGTTCACAGACAAATAGAGCAGAAAGTACATAGAGTTCCCACATATCCCCTGCCCGCATATACTGATATACAAGACTTTTAAGTACATTGCTCAGTCTACAGCTCTCCTGGAATTTACAGTGCTTCCAAGAGAAAAGTGGCCCTAAATACCAGGCTTATCTTCCAGATGTTTGTCTTCTCCTAGAACTTGGCCTGTTAATTGTTTACTACCTTGTTTTTTGATGCCTTCAACCCGTTATTTTTTAATAATTATTCCAGCTTTTCTGATTGTTCTCAGTGGGGAGGTAGCCTACTATTATTGAACACGATTATTCCCTCTGTTATAAATGGCTGCAAGTAGATCGCTTATTTGGAAAGTATAGAAAGGTGAACCTAGGGCCGGCCCCGTGGCTTAGTGGTTAAGTGAGCGCGCTCCACTGCTGGCGACCCGGGTTCGGATCCCGGGCTCACACCGACGCGCTGCTTCTCTGGCCATGCTGAGGCCGCGTCCCACATACAGCAACTAGAAGGATATGCAGCTATGACACACAACTATCTACTGGGTCTTTGGGGGGAAAAAATAAATAAATAAAATCTTTAAAAAAAAAAAAAAAAGAAAGGTGAACCTAGTAAGGAAATAGCACAACTAAAAATCTTTTCTATTAGCATTATGGTTTAAATTTTTTACTTTCAAATGTGGAGCTATATTGTAGAAATTAAGGTTTTAATTTTTCCAATCTTTTATTCCAGCTCGTGATGCTGATGAGCGAGAGAAGTGGATCCATGCCTTAGAAGAAACAATTCTTCGACATACTCTTCAGCTTCAAGTAAGAATCTTTACATGGCTTCTGGATTGTTCATTAGTTTTTTTTTTCTGTTTTCTGTTTTTTTAAATAACTGTGATATGATGTAGTGAAAACTTTTGAAAACTTTTAATTTCTAAGTTGTTTATTCTTGCCTTTACAGTGTTATAATATATAGGAAAGTTATGGTCATTTTCTTCTGCTTTCTAAAGGGTAAAATACTGATTTTTGTCTAGAAACAAGACAGTGCAAGGCACTCTTGAAAGAGAAATACTATGTTAAAATGTGCCAGATTCATTTTTTAAATTTAGTATCTATATTTGGTTATTGATATAACCAAATTATTATAATAATGTGTGATAATAGATAAGTGCTGAGAAGTTGACCTACTTTTCTTGTTATAGGATTTGGCAGTTACCATGTATGTTGGGTAGTACTCTTTGGGATGAAAGTGAAAGAAAAAACTCAAACTGGTTTAAGAAAAAAGCAAATCTGGTTTAGGTGTGGTTTGAGGTAGGCACTTAAACAATGTCATGAGGACTCAGATCCCCCATCTCTATTTCTAGGTCCCATTTCTTCTGGGTTGGCTTTATTTTTAGATAGATTCTCCCTTTGTGCTGGTAAGGTGGTTGCAGCAATTTCAGCTGCCCATTGTAGGAACTCCAAGTTCATAGGACCGTAATACGATTAATAGGATTAATGCTGATCACCTTAATCAGTCATTTTCCCAATCCTGACCAGTCATAATTTCACAGTCATACGCTCCACTCCTGGAGCTGGGATGTTATCTGCTTCACTAGAAACACATTGCTGGTAGGGTAGAAGGTGGTCTCCCCAAGCAAAATAGGGAAAAAAAGATGCTGGGTGACAAAAACAACAAATGTCTACTCTACCATACTGAAGATAGTTTTCTATGTTTATTCTCCAATGAAAGAGCTTATATTGTGGCATACAGAGGATTTTGTTTTGATTATTTTGATTTATAGGATTGAATTGTAGAAAACTGATGTTTTATAACCCTTTCTCTCTACTTATCTTTGTCCTATACCAGGAATTGGCTTGATTAGACAAGATAGTATAGGGCATCCCAGCTCCTACAAGATGAAGTGTTCAAATAGAGGCTTAAAAAAATTATTCGAGGATGTGGTTATTAAGAGACTGTAAGAAATGAATATGGAATTGAACTATGAGATATACAAGTTACTGTATGAGCTATGCCTTTTAAAAGCAACTTCATAATTTCTATAGGTTTCTTTTTAATTTAGGCAGTTTTATAAATGACTGTGGCATCATTTCAGCAAATTTGTGATTCAGTAAGAAGATACGTGTTTTAAGAATCATATTAGACTGAATGTGGCAGATGAGATTCCCTTCACAGTTGGTTAGACTGACATTCAAGTCTCTCTATGATCTATTCTCAGCCTGCTTTTCTAGACATTTCTGCCACTATACCCCTACATAAACCTTCTGCCAGTGTGCTGCTGCTTGCTTGCTTTCCTCTGAACTCATCTTTTCATTTCATTTTTTTTTTAAATTTTTTAAATTTATTTATTTTTCCCCCAAAGCCCCAGTAGATGGTTGTATGTCATAGCTGCACATCCTGCTAGTTGCTGTATGTGGGACACGGCCTCAGCATGGCCGGAGAAGCAGTGCATCAGTGCGCGCCTGGGATCCCAACCTGGGCCGCCAGGAGCAGAGCACATGCACTTAACCACTAAGCCACGGGGCTGGCCCCATCTTTTCATTTCTGATCTTCACATTCTTGCTCGTGATGTTCTGTCTCTGAAATGCCATCTGCCTTTATTTACTGCCCCTTTTCTTCAAGCCCATTTCGGAACTGACCTCTTCTGGGTCACTTCCCTGACTGACCCCTCCTCCCCCACCCCCCAAACTCAAAGTGATCTCTTTTCTTTGAATGCCATACTTGTTGCACAATTCACTAAGTCCTTATCATACTCTTCTTTGTCTTTTAAAGTATATATGGGCCGGCCCCGTGGCTTAGCGGTTGAGTGCGCGCGCTCTGCTGCTGGCGGCCCGGGTTCGGATCCCGGGCGCGCACCGACGCACCGCTTCTCTGGCCCTGCTGAGGCCGCGTCCCACATACAGAAACTAGAAGGAAGTGCAGCTATGACATACAACTATCTACTGGGGCTTTGGGGGAAAAAAATAAATAAATAAAATTATAAAAAAAAAAAAAGTATATATAACTTCCCACCTTAGGATGCAGATTCCTTAAGATCAGGTGCCTAATTTGATCCAATTTTGGAATTTATGAGCTTTTGCTAAGAAGAGAGCTTACATGTTTTTGGGAATAACAAGACGAAAAAGATAAATTTGAGAAATCTTAAACTCTGATAGCTTTGATATTTTAAAATAGATGTAATACAAAAGAATTCTGTATATATTTTTTTCTAAAGTTCATGCAGAAGATAGAACATTTAGAAATATGTAATTAAATGTTAATTTGACTGGTAAAAAAGTAAAGATTCTCTTCCCAGAGATAGTGAAGTCTGGTAAAGAACTTGACTCTGGAGCCAGAATGCCTTGGTTTGTATCTCATCGCCACCACTTACATTTACCTCTTGACATTGAACTTACTCTGAGTTCCAGTGTCCTCATCTGTAGAATGAGGATAATAAAACCTTATTTTGTAGGGTTGTTTTGATGATTAAATGGGTTAAATGCAGATTTGTTGTAATAATACCTATCTATAGTAAGAACTTGATAAATGCTAGCTACCATTACTACAACAACTACTTTTACCATTCCCACTCCCGTTAATTGGCATTCTAAATAGTGCTCAATGACTGTTAATTAAATGAAGAAATAATTGAAGAAATTAACAGACAAACAGATGATGTGTCGGTTGTTTTTCCATTGCTGTTTACTGAGTACTCTGAGATTTATAACATACTGTTTGGTATTGTGGAGTAGGCACTCATGGAGCTCTCTTCCAAATGGGCGTGAAATTGAATTTCATCTCCACTTTAGCCATTAAACTGTACTGCTTTGACCTTGTCATTACTAAGAGCTGCACCACCTCCAAAATATTGAATTTAAAAGTGTTTTCTCTTTGACCACAATTTTCTTACCTTCATCCTCTTCTAGCACTTTACTTCTTCTGAACTTTTCTCCTTTCGTTTTGGTCTAAGCTCTACTTCTCCATTTTTCCTGGCCGTTTAGTACCTTTCTAGTTTTGCTTTTCTCATTCCCCAGTGTAGACGTTATGGTCTGCTTCTTTGACATTGATTTTGCTATCACCTTTAAAATTTCTTGTCACTGGGTGTTTTGTGCAGTATACCATTCTGGTTTCCATGCCCCAGAGCCCCCATTGTCTGGTTTCTCTGCTTCTAGTACTGTGAGGTCACCAAATTGAGATGGCTTTATCTATTACAATTTAAATTTTGTCTAACTTTAATTGGATTTCTATAACTATTTAATAGTCGTCTTACTGACTTTTTTTTGATTTTCAATTAAATCCCCACAGTGGAATCTTTTTCATTAGTGTTCAGTATCTAATACTGCCTGCTCCCTTCTTTATAAAAAAAGGTCTCTCTTCTTCTTCAGCAGTTCTTAGTGACTTCACCTATACTTTCTTTCTCTGCTTACATATTTCAAAGAAAAAATTATTCTCACTCTTTCCCAAAGTTAACACTATACTCATACTCTTGACTGCATGATGTTTCCTTTGAGACTGTGACCTTCTCTATCAGCCACTACTGTTTTCATGGATTCAGCTAAAACTTGTGTATAGATGACTCTTCCTCCCCTCTCTTCCCCTCCATTTTTATCTCTCTTTTGATATTTAGCTTTAGTCTTTCCTTTTGAATTTTGCCAGTTAGCTGTCTCCCTGGAACTCAGCCTCAGCATGGATAAAACTGAGCTTATCTCCTTCCTCCTCAAACCCATCTCTTTATCCCATTTTTCTGTTTCTGTTAATGACAGCATTATTCTCTGAGCCACTGAGGTTTGAAAGTTGAGAGTCCTCTTAGGTGATAACTTCTAACCTGCCAAACCTGGAGACTCTTTTTTTCTTTTCTTTTGTTTTTTTTATAGAATCACTCACACTCCTCCACTCATTTGACTATCATTTTTGTTACCTCTTGCCACCTCTATTTCTAGTGCCCTCCTAATATTCTTGAATTTATTCTCCTCTTTATCCTATAAATGAGCAACTATAATTAATGATCTTAAGACATCCACAACTGTGAAAAACCTGTAATGGTTTACATTTGCCTGTAGGATGAAGTAAAACTTCTTTTTTTTTTTTTGTGAGGAAGATCAGCCCTGAGCTAACATCCATGCCAATCCTCCTCTTTTTGCTGAGGAAGACCAGCCCTAAGCTAACATCCGTGCCCATCTTCCTCCACTTTATGTGTGACGCCACCAAGCATGGCCTGAAGAGCAGTGCGTCAGTGTGTGCCCGGGATCTGAACCCGGGCTGCCAGCAGTGGAGCAGGAGCACTTAACCGCTATGCCACGGGGCCGGCCCCCCCGAAGTAAAACTTCTTATTAGGGGATTTCAGGCTCTCTTTGATTTGACCCCAGCCTACCTTTCCACTTCCTGTCCCTACATGTACCTGATGCTCCACATAGAAATCTCTTCTGATTCCATGCTTCTGCTCATGCTACTCTTAAGTCCTCACCATCCCCACTCCTCAAATTTGCCTCTGTAAGACTCATTCCAATCATTCAAGACCCAGTGCACATATTACCTTTTCATTTCATTTTTTCTTATCACTGTAATAAAAAGTAGTATCTTACGTCCTTAACCTCTGCTATAATTCCCACTTCTGTTTTAGCCCATATAACATTCTGCTTTGTAATAATACATAATAGTAGCAACTAATATTTGAGCACTTTTTATGTGCCAGGAACTGTGTGGGCTTTACAGGCATTATCTCTTTTAACGATACCTTATTATTTAACTCATCTCCCACTTGAGATTATAAGTTTCATGAGGCTAGAGAGAATCTATCTTATTGATAGTATGTTTCCCATATTACCTTTGCAAAACCTAGCTG